GGATTATGAAAATGTGATATCGTCTTTTGTTTACGATTACTGGTGAAGCATAATAGTTCTCAGCAAGTATATAGAAATAAAAATAAAAGTACTCGGCTATTCCGGACAGTTTCGTGACTGTATTGTTGTCACTTCGTCAGCGGTAATAAGTAATATAAACATTTTCGAGATCACATTTTCAAAACACAAATCTTCACACATTTTTCCTTTGGACCCGCTTCCATCCAGACAAATCCACACAACCCTCAGGTCATCCCTATATAGCGAGAATTACTAACAATAATTCCAACCATTTGCTGTGACACGACATATGTGATACGACATAATATCAGACCATTACACGACAGAGCCGCCTAATTTCACTATTACACATTACAACTTACATACAGTCACGCCTACGCCAATTTCTTATTGAGCCCGCCCTGACCCCTATGCGTATTAAAAAGTCCCACCCATCTCTGTTCCCGTATTCTTCTGTATGTAACCCAATTCCTCCAAACCTTTTCTAGTCCGACAAATTTAGCGTTCGATAAGTGATGACCCTCACCATTGAAATGCGCCGCTACCTCAATCTCATTTCGCCTGCAGCGTATAGACGACAGATGGTTTTGAATTCTGTGATATAGGATCCCCCCTGTTTCTCCCACATAAACAACACAGTCACACACAGTACAGAATATGCCGTAAACAACATTACTCGATTTACATCCAATCGTTAAGTCGTAGGTGCACACGTCACCCCCCGTTCCCCGAATCCTCATTTGCTCTTTGTACATAACCTTGCATACCACACAATTTTTTCCACAGCTTCCATGATTTCCCTCCGTTGTCTGGCTTACTCGTTTCGTTTTTTTATGCACCAAAAGATCCCCAAGATTGCATCCCCTCTTAAAAGATACAAATGTTCCTTTGTCGGCACCAAATGCGTCTTTAAGGTTATCAGAGCGCATAAGTAAGTGCTTCTTACTCCTAACAATGTTCCTAATATCAGGCAAGTGACTAGAGTAAGTGACCACCAAAGGGACCCCCTTCTTGATAGACCTCCCCACCCTACCCTCCAGAGCTGCTTTTCTGTCCACATTCTTGACCCGGCTAAGTCCACTCTTAATTATAGTTTCCGGATAACCCCTGTCTAAAAGATTGCGAGTGATCTCATTGGTTTGGTCCAGGAAGTCACTCTCAGAGCTGCAAATTCTCTTAGCTCTCATGGCCAGACCTGAAGGGATAGCCTTCTTAACGTGTAGCGGGTGATCAGAGAGGAAGTGGAGGTGAGCTTTTGTGTCCGTAGGTTTCGAGAAGATTGTGGTGTGTAGTTCTCCTTTGTCTATAGTCACACGTACATCCAAAAACTCTATTTCCGTGGGTGAAAACCTAAGGTCTAACTTGATGTTGTCGTGGATGCTGTTGGCAAGAGTATGGAATTCCCGTAGCTTTTCTTCACCATGAAGCCAAATTCCAAAAATATCGTCTATGTATCGTAAATACAAAAAGGGTTTTAGTGTAGAAGACTCCAGTAACTTGCCCTCCCACATTCCCAAATACGTGCACGCATAGTTTCTACCTAATTTTGACCCAATTGCCGTGCCATTTACCTGAGTGTAGTGGTAGGAATTCCCAAGGCTAAAGTTATTATTATCCAAAACTAGCTCTATCATTTCGATTACTTCTGATGTGGGAATGCTCGGATTTGATCTAGAATCTAGGGCGTCTCTACAGGCTGCAATGCCCTCGTCTCTCGGGACACTAGGATATAATTTACTGACGTCCATACAAAAGAGCAGCGGTGTCGTCGAAACAGGTAACTGAGTTTGACCTATTTTGTTAATAAAATCTGTAGTGTCTCTTACAAAAGAAGGCTGGTTTAAGACATGTGGTTCAAGCTGCTTTTCTGCTAGTTCGGCGATCCTTTCTGTCGCGTGACCCCGTCCGCTTACTATTACCCGCAAGGGGTGCCCCTCCTTGTGAAGTTTGGGGTTCCCTTGTAGATATCCCGGCGTAGGATGTGTCGGGATGAGGTACCTGTGTAAATGTTTGCCAATGTAACCACCTTTAAGGAGCCTATCTGCCAGGTTCTTAACCTTTTTGTGAATAATCTTCGTCTGGTCTCTGTCTTGGAGTCTGTAGGTGGAGGAGTCATCAGTCTCACGCTTAAGCCTGTCAAGATAGTCCGCCGTGTCCATGACAACTACCCCCCATCCCTTGTCAGCCGGCCTAATTACAATATCCTGGTCGTTCATCAATTCTACCAGTGCCTCCTCCTCCTTTTTACTAAGGTTACCCTTTCGGTTCTTTGAAATCCCTCTGACAGCGCTCTGGATGACCTCCTCTAAATATAAATCCAGCCATGGGTCCCTACCCTTTTCAGGTGTCCATCGAGATTGTTTATATTTCGAATCTTGGTCAACTAAGGACTCGCCACCAAAAGTCCCATTAGATGGTACGCCCAACTCTTCACCTTGATGACCTGCTGACCAGAATTCACGCAGTCTCATCAACCTCTCCCATTCTTTGAGCTCTGCAAGAAGGTGCGTAACTTTCTGTCTCCTTACAGGTACAAATCCTAACCCCTTACTTAAAAGCGATAGCTGGCTAGGTGACAGTTGTTTGCTGGATAAATTAGTAACTTTAACGCGACCCTATATATATATATATATATATATATATATATATATATATATATATATATATATATATATATATATATATATATATATATCCTTTTGTAAAGTGTCTGTCCAAACATATCCTTGGGCCGTGGCCGATAAATGTCATCGATTTGTCGATGAACACTTACGTAGGTATATTCCGTCCGTACATTTCCGTCTCCCTTAATTTACGTTCATGACTTTCAAACAGCAGCGGATCATAGGTATTCTACTGTTGCACAAACACGTTGTTGCTGTTTTTACAGGAAAAAGCGTTTAATCTATATCTATTCTATGACTGAAATGACTCGGTTGCCGCGTGAATATTTACATCACTGACATGTTGTCGAACTTTCGAACTTCACGGACCTCGTCCCCGGAGTTGAGATGTTAGAAGGGGACGAAAGCCCGACGACATTATGTCAGTGATAGGCACTTATACCTTGACCTCATGTCAAACATTTCGAAGCCCGTCCGATACGGAAATGTTCGTGCGTGCTCGTGATCGTTCACTCGTTCTCGTACTCGTTCTCTTTTGTCACCCGGAGGACCATAAAGTTATTGTTCATATATGTAAAAGTCTATTCTTGATTGATAGCGAAACGATTAACCCTCGCCCGCACATGGGGGGGGGGGTTGCCACCCCCCCCCCCAGGTAGTCTTTCTGCTCTGCACTCAACATTTTTAGAGCTAGAAGGCTGATTTTTCGTATAGCTGCTCCTCTATCCTTTCTTGATGTCCACTAAAAATTTCAAGTTTCTATGATTTTTGGTTTCGGAGATATGACCTTGTTTTTCAGGTCATGTCATGACCCAAATGGCCAATTCTCAACATCTTGCGTTTGCCATGGGCCTTATGAGCTTTTGACACCCTGATTTCGGCCTTTTTTGCCAGTCTTACCTCCTACCTATCATGAAACATGTTGTTTGACGATGTACAGGGGTCAAGGTCAGGGTCAAGGTCAACCTAGGTCACCTAAGATAATTGCGTTTTAGGCAAGCTGAATTTACTTTTTTTGAAGTTTTTTGACTGCATTTTTGGTAAAAGCTTCTCAGATCATGATTTCATGTAATATGGACCCAAAAACAATCGGTGCACACATCAGTATACACACAGACACACACAGACATACAAACACATATAATTGACCTTGACCTAACTTGACCTGAAATGACCTCAGCAGCAAAATTCTGGTCGGGTAGTGTGACAAAGAGGTTCTAGCTGGCTTGGCACCAGAAAACAGCATCGCCATCGGTATTTGATAAGCAGCACACTTGATATCCAACGGTGACCCAAAACAACAACATTTTTTAGTTTCACCTGACCTGGAAGGTCAATGACTGACCTGAGAAGGTAAAACTGGGTATCATTGGATTCGTCTCTTCCCAAAGAATCTTTTTGGTCTTTACTGCTAAGCTCTATCTCCAACAGGAACGAAATGGCGCGGGGGGGGTGGCAACCACCCCCCCCCCCCCATGTGCGTTCTAGGATGGGAAAATGGCATGTGCGGGCGAGGGTTAAAACGGGTAAATACGGCGGTCACAGATGCAGCGCAATTCGTCGTACTCGGCACGTCGTTCACGTTAAATCACGTAAGGCCGCGTCGGCCACGTCGTAACACCGGGCCGTGTCGCACCGGCGGAGTCCCGTTGAAGACTGTCGGGCCCCCGTCCCGTCTCAGCCTTCGTGGTACGCACAACACGTGGGTATGAGAACCAGGACAGGGGCCAGATGACACATATGTGAGCGGCGTGGCGCGGCGGACCGACCGCCGCGCTCCGAGCGCCGGCCGTCTTTGCGAAGATATCAAAAATGCCTATTTGCTCGCTAATACCTATACCTAAATAACAGCCTATGGTGGTTACAGGCACCTACACATGACAGACCGACTGAAATTGCCGCACCGGCTTATAAACAACGGCAGCATTGTGCGTTATGGCCAAGACGCCTATATAAAGTATAAACCTTATAGGGTTATGGGCTGGCCTTATGGGGTAGGCGTTGCATGAGTAGGGGTAGGTTATTTCAAAGCAGGTTCGAAACAGTCATAAAACTTTTAGTGTTAGAACTTAGAAGGTGACGTAACTTAGGGAGCGCAAGCCAATTTTGCAAACTTATAGAACCATTGATAAGATCAGTTTTTTTTATACCGTGGATTAGACTGAGATTATCAGTTGCTCTTTTCCTCTCCTGTGCCTCTCAAGATTCCTTTCTCTTTCTTCTAGCGTTTTTTGGTATTCAGTGAAAATTTAAATTTGGAAGCAACCTACAGTGACAGTTTAGACGCACAAGTGACTTTTAGGACAATGGCTGCCAACTTCCGCAAATTTTACACACAAAATCGGTTGAGAAAATTGGGACGCCGGTGAAAACAGGGCGCCGGAGGGCATATTAGTCACGTGGTATTTTGAAGTTCTCCCCCTACAGCGGCCTTCTACATGCTAAACGTCACGTGTAAATTTCACGAACCTTGATCAAATCGCCCCAGGCGCCCTGTTTTCACCGTCGTCCGAAAATTGCGACACGCGTCGCGCGGGCGCCACGTGGAAAAGTGCGAAGGTAGAGCGGAAAATTAAAAAATCCACAGTGTATATAAAAAAGTCAGTGTAATTCACTATTCAGTTTGTGAGTCCCGGTTGTACCTATCCTATCATCATCAGTTCTGTGCCTATTCCGTTTGGTACTGTTTTTCGTCCTTGCTTTTCAGTAGGTAAATGATGTAAATGAGTATTGGAAGCAACTGCGCAGATTGAGATAAATTTTATTAAGATTCATCGTTGCCTGCAGGCACTCTGCTAGCACAAAGCTGATTAAAAGTGACATTGATGTTAGGTTATTGTTATCACCTGTGCTGGTCAATGATTTGAATTAGCACCAGGGCTGCGGAGTCAGAGTTGGAGTCAGTTGGAGTTGACACTTGACAGTTCTGCCCGGAGTCAGAGTTGTAATCAGAGTCGCTAAAATCTTATCAACTCCAAATCCTGAGTCAGAGTTAACGCTGCATGGCTCTACGTTATGCACTGCACCAGTTTGACGATACTGCGCTCAAAATTTGTCGATAAAAGGCCATTTTGCTGTTTTGCACGAATATTTTCAGCAAAAGAAGCAGAAGATGGTGATTGGTGAATGCCCAGAACCTGCTTTTTAATACTGCATGTTTTTTTTTAATGCATTGTGCAGCGCAAAGCCTTGGAACGCACAAGGGATTGTTTCAGGCAAGATAAAGACATCTCCATTATTAACTTTGATATGATGCAGATTTTAATAGAACTGTCCAGAGTTGGAGTCAGAGTCAATTCTTGTAGTTGGAGTCAGAGTCAGAGTCACCCTAAAATCCATCGACTCTGCAGCCCTGATTAGCACGGTACTGTTATTGCTAGTTTCTCTAGATTCTGGAAAGCTGCCTTCCTTCTGTCACTTTTTGTGCTTGTTGCCAGTGCTTTGACACATTTGTGAATTGTGTTGCATTTTGGGGAGTGTCATTAGTTATGGCTTCATACTATCATTTTTTTCCAGATAAGTTGGAGTGAAGTTGATCAGGAATTGCTGGTGATCAGTTCCAGTTGGTGAGTACAGTGTTGCTATTCCCTATTTGGGGAGTTGCCACAGAACAGATGGATTCATTATTGTCTGGCTTTCTTAACCGTTTCAACTATCAACAGCAGCATAGCAAGCTATACTCCACCCATATGACTATAGGCAATTAACCCTCGCCGGACCTATTGGTTTTCTACATACGCGCCGGTCGAGGGAGGGGGGGGGGGCGGTACGACCCCCCTCGCCGTTTCGCCCCTGGTGAAGGTAGCGCGTCGCGGAAAAAACGAGCGTGTGCGCCGTTACGCGACGCAGAGATTGGTACCCGATTTTAAGGTCCCAGGTCAACCGGTGACCTCTGAGGTCAGGTCAAGTGCCCCAAGGTACGGTTCAGTTTTTGGTGAATAACTTCGCAAAAAACGGCCGCAGAGCCGCGATTTTGGCAGCATCGTGTTCGCCTTGCTCAGGCGCGTCGAATGATATACTTTTTGTCCGGGTCAGGTAACTTGGGGTGTTGACCTCAGGTCAAGGTCAGGTCAGCACCCCCAGGTCACGAAGTTGGTCGAAAGAGGTCATGTCACATATCATTCGATTCGGCAGGTCTTCCTGAGTCCATTGGTGACTTTCCCGACTCGCTAGCTCAATTTGATCAAGAGTTATTGACGAAAAACTAATATGACCTTGATGACGTCATAAATGACGTCACGCAAGGTCAACATTGCAAAAGTGACGCATCTAACCTTGCAAGGAGTGCATAACATCACGATTCTGTGTGCTTGAGATAGTTGGAGATCGTTCCCGGCGCCAGAATAGGTAGCAGTTTGTATTTTTCCCCATTGACTTATAATGGTGAGGTCACGAAAATGACCTGACCTCATATGACCTTTAGGAAAAATCCGAGATATACAAGTTGTGAGACTCATAATGGATACTAGATCCTGCAAGTTTCATTTCCCTGTGACATCTCTTCTGGCAGTGAGGGCGTTGCGAAATTGCGACATCTGAAGACCGTGCAGAGGTTCACTTATGACGTCATAGGTCAGTGACCTGACCTGACCCAAAAATGCGGTTGGTGTCAAAAGATCCAGCTTGAATCAAAGGTCAGGTATGCCAAGTTTCAGCTCTCTATCGCTAACGTGCTCGGAGCTATCGCGAAAAAACCCTAGGGGGGGGGGGGCGGCACCCGCCCCCCCCCCCTCGGCCGGCGAGGGTTAAGACTGGTAACCTGCTCTTTTTCTCTACATTGTCTTGCAGGTAATATGTGAATGTGGCAGCTCAGAGCTGGACTTATTTTCTCTGCTTTCAGCATTTCACTCTGGCAAGGGCATTTAACTGCACAAACCTGTGATACTATAAATACCAATAATGCAACTAATAATGTAGTTGCATTGCCTACGGCCTACCCAGTACCTAAGGAAAATAAATAGGAACCTAGGAACCTATGCAACATGCATAGGCATGCAGGGTGTCAAAATGGTTGGCAACTGCTAAATAACTATGATGCAAATTGCAATAATACTGTAAAAATCAAAATGCCTCTATGTATGTTTGGGATATAACCTCGCTGCTGGTGTGCCCTAAAACTACAAATCATAATCTGCATGTATGCCACGTGCAGTGCTGTAAATGAGGCCGCTTTCTGGTCCCGGCGTTTTATTCTCCTGGTGGGTTAGCCCCATCTAGCGCTTAGCCTTTCGGGACCCTCTCAGAGCCGCGGTTGTTTTCGCCGCTCGGCCCATTCGAGATGCAAAGTTGATAGTCACACGAAGTTTATTTGGGGCATGTGAATATACGACTTCGAAATTAATCGATTCAACAAAACCTTTTTCTTTCATCTATGTGCATACATTTAACAGTAAATCCAGGCTAGCCTGGTTTGGCTGACCCTAAATAAGCTTCGTTTGACTATCAACTTTGCATCTCGACTGGGCCGAGCGGCGAAAACAACCGCGACCCTGAGTGGGTCCCGAAAGGCTAAACGCTGGACGGGATTAACCCGCCCGGAGAATAAAATGCCGGGACCAGAAAGCGGCCTCATTTCCAACACTGGCCACGTGTCAATACTCTTTGGCAGGCAATTGCTCAGGAGCAGTGTGGGCTATAGGGTTGAAATTTTCGTGCGAAGTCGGACTCGTGCACTTCTTTGTTGAATCAACTTTTCGAAAGGGTGGGTTCAGTGGTGTGCACGTGGTGGGCGCATATTTGCTGCGTTTTGGGCCGTGGCCCGTGTGGAGCAGAGGGAACGTACTTTAGGCTCAGTTGTTGCCAAAACTGAGGGAAAAGACTCTGAGCTCGGCACGTCATTGAATCTTCGACAACCATCGGAGACATGCGATACGATGCACCGCCCGCTGAGGGGACTTTGTAAACGCTTGAAAGCTCACGAGGAAATTAAATATATTTGTTATTGCAATAAAGCAGCCATTACTAGGCCGATTACGGTAAAACTTGGACTGTCAGTGGGCACATCGGACGACGCATTACCTACCGTGTGTGGGGAGCTAATGCACGTGCATAGTTCCTGCTTGTGAATCCATAGCTCTAAGGTATCTAAGGTCCATGGTATATCTGAGAAATGCTCTCAGATTTAATGCACAGGCAAAAGCTTAGCCTCCAGAGAGTAAAAACTAGAAATTTAATGTTTTTATTGAACTCGTAACTATTTCTGCAGTAGCTGCAGACACCAAGCTTGTATTACGTTGTTTTACCGGCATCGCGTTTCTCTCTCGAGACGCGTCGAATGAACTTTACATTTACATGAAAAGGTCAACTTCAGAATTTTATCTCAGGTCAACGTCACGGAAAAGATCATGTTGCATATCAGTCGCTTCGTATCGTTGAACTAAACGCAGCTGAGGTGGTGTTTTCGTGGCTCTAGCATGTTTTCTCTGAAGTTATTGTTAAAAAACATTTGGACATGTTTCATTACCTGAGATGACCTCAGGGGTCACGGGCCGGTATTCTGATATTTATTATAGTCAAACACAACTTTTAAATATCACTCACTACATACGCCAGCTGAGGCGGAGGTCGGCGACAGGGAAAGGCAGGGATCGGGCCGGCTGTAGTGAGTAGTCAGTGAGTGGGAAGTGACATTCAGACTCTTAATTTGCCAAGCATACAGACTGCACTTCATGAAACTGTCCCGTATTACTTTGTACATGGACAGTTCCCTCAGTTGTCAGAGTGGTCCATCTGTTGAATTGGAGCCGGTGCACACCACCCCACTCTTATCGAGGCTGGAGTCTTGGCAATTGGCATACACACTTAAACTATGTATTGATCGCCGGGAGCTTTATCTTGAGACCAATGCGCTGGGCACAGTGCCTTCAGTGCTCAGACCAAGCTCAGACAACAGCTGGACGTTGCGTCGTGAATGGTGAATCGTGCCCTCTTTGTGGGGTTGAGTCCCTCGGCCGAACTTTGTGCGCATCTTGGGCAGCCAGCAACTCAAAACTCTCCTTTGAGACGTTTTCACCTTTTTTCCTGAATGTGACAGTGAACCACCTTGTATCCTTGGATTCCTGCATTGAATGAACAGGTATGTTTTTTTTTTAGTTTCATCCTTCCATCCTACCTGTTGGGGAATACTTTGCTAGCATTGTTATGTACCCTCATGATTGTACGGTCTTTATTTTTACATGTTTGTATTTATGCGTGTATGCTTGCGGTATGTCTATTACCTACTTAATGGGATTACTTTGCATACGATAGGAGATAAGTGAATGTCTAGCATTTGTAGATCGGATGCCAATTATAAATATTGTTTGTTATGTTCCTCTGGATTGCTTTTTTGCCAGTTTTCTTATTTGCCAAAAACAGAATTTACTTCTCTCAGTTTTATTTATGTTTGCTCACACACAAAGACTCTTTTGCATAGGTGGCGGTTTTTATCAGCTTCTGTCTCGAAGAACAATAAGGTTATAAGTAAGTTGGCATGCACATTTGTTCAGTTACGGTTTTATCTACTAAAAAAGCATGACCTTCCATATATGGGGCGTTTATCGGCATGTTCTTTAGCGATAACCACTAATCCATCGTCGTCGCTGGAGGAAACTAGATCACTTTGGACAATGCCAATGCTTTGGTGTGTTACCAAGGAATTGCTAGGTTGTAGTGCTCAAAAGGTTCACAGATTTTTTTTCCGGCTGAATTGGTAAGCCATCATATACCTCGTACCTATTTGTTTGTGTGATTTACATAAATGTCATCGATTCTTCTCCATGCAACCCTTGTGCCCCTTCCCTGCAGGCTGCAGTGTAGGAGTGTTTATGGACTTAACCGTAATCTTGTGGGGTGCTGCTATGAGGTCAAACTTGTGGGGTGCTGCTTTTATCGCTTTCCACATCATATTTTTATTTTTTTGCATGAATCCTGGTAACTAATTCTAGGACTTGCAAATACCACAATGTCACTTGCTTAGTATTACTAGGGGTGGTCATGAAAGTTAAGGTAAACATCTAAATTTTGCCATATTCTTGGCTGTTTTGATGATCTGACTTGAATTGAGGGAATGTGTTGGCCTGCAATGCTGGGTGACTCGGTGTTTGTTTCCAAGTCTGGCCGGCCCTTCTCGGAGGGGCCGGCGCTCAGCTGACCGCCAGAGGGCGCTGTCTCAGTGACCCCGTGCCGCTGTCTCCGGAGGAGCTGACCTCGGCGCCGCCGTCCCCAGATGGGCGTTTCGGTCGGCCGGCCGCTGTGTACCGCCATGTCGGGTCCGGTTGCGCGCGCCTGCCGCCCCGTGGTGCTGTGCGGCCCCTCGGGCGCCGGCAAGTCCACGCTGCTGGGCCGGCTGCAGACCGAGTTTCCGGGCCTGTTCGGCTTCTCCGTGAGCCACACCACGCGCCAGCCGCGCGCCGGAGAGAAGGACGGCGTGCACTACCACTTTGTGACGCGCGAGGCCATGCTCAAGGCCATAGAGGACGGCCAGTTCATCGAGCACGCCGAGTTCAGCGGCAACCTGTACGGCACCAGCAAGGCCGAGGTAGGCAAGCCACATCGCGCCTGTATAGTGGCACACTTCCTTAGGAAATGACCGTATAGGTGTGCGGTATAAGAACACTGTGCTCTATAAGTGGAATGCATAATTGCATGTTGCATGTTGTTTAATGCATTTAGTCAAAGTGGTGAAAAAGGTCGCGTTTTGCTTTTTTAATATGGGTCAACATGTATCCAATGTCACTGTGTTACGGAAACCTGAATGCTCTGCCGGGTGCTACTGTTATTCGGCGGCTGTGGTCAGGTTGTCTGTCTGTCCGCCAGGTGGAGCGTATCGACAGAGGTGGCGCCATCTGCATCCTGGACATTGACGTGCAGGGCGTGAAGCAGGTGAAGCAGTCGGACCTGAGCCCTCACCTGGTCTTCATCCGGCCGCCCAGCATGGACGAGCTGGAGCGCCGTCTCAGGTGGGCCGCCCATACGCGCCACGGCTTCCTAGTCATACAGCCGACCGAGTGGCTAATTTAACTCTGACATCTCGAATGTTTGTAGTATTTAGTAACCTGTGTGGTTCCGTTGCCATGCTGTTTCCGCGAGAGTTCGCTCCCAGTGGAGTGTGACCTGTCGCTGCTCGATTGGCAGAAACCGTAAGACGGAGACGGAGGAGACTCTACAGAAGCGTCTGGCGGCGGCCGCGGCCGAAATGGAGTACGGCCAGACGCCGGGTAACTTCCACGCCACCGTGATCAACGACGAGCTGGACCACGCGTACGAGCAGCTGCGCCGTATTCTGCTGCCCATCATCGAGCAGAAAAAGGCCAACGGCGCGGCGCCCTCGTAAGGCGGCGCGGAAACGGAGGCCGCCCGCCGAGACCTGCTGTACAAACCGATACATACAGACAGACTCCTGAGCCGGATTCAGAAGTACGTGATACGAGCGATCTTCATCTGGACTAGTTCGGACGACGTCAGGTCAGCACCCCTCCTCCACAGCCAAAGTTGATCGCCGTCTGCGCGCGACCTGACCAAGACATGCACCGTTTTCGCCGTGCCATTTCGACGTCCGCTCAGGGTTATTTGAGGGCAGCAGGTCTGTTCCACCACGTGGGCCCCCGTTCTCCGACCGGTAGTTTGTTGTTAGCGTTCGCTGTTATCACCGACACAAGTGATCACACTATCCACCGGCCGTCAGTGGATTCAGTTGGCCTCGCTGGCCTCAGTAGTTTTAGGTGCGGCACTCATTTTAGTGACTCGCCGGAGTTCCGGATAAAGCGGAGTGTCGAGTTACAAATGGAATGAGGGCGGTACAGTCTCTAGTTCAGGACGAGTTGAGGTAGTGGCCTGTGGTTTGCAGTCTTGGTGGTGGAATAACGTTTCGAGGTCGATTTGGGGTGGCTGCAGGGTGGTAACAGTCGCTGGGTTTCTAGTTTATTTTTGACTTCCCTTTAAGTCAGAAACAATGCAAACGCTTCGATGCGGCTTTTTGCTTTGGAAGTGTCTTTGGAAGCGGGTGGGATAGCTTTAGCTAACTGTGGTGCACACTGTTTCGCCGTTGCATCCACAATGCGGGTTTTCCGTTTTCATGTCGTTCTCAACTGCATGTTGACGTGTGTCCAAAACTGGCACCTGGGTGTTGTGGCCAACAACAGATCTATCTAACACGGGTTACGTGGGAAGGCGGGGAGAAGCAGTTCACGTGCGCGAGCCTGAAACGCTAGTTGCTACGGTTGTACACTGCTTCACACGGGGGACCAACCAGCCACATGCTTCCACTTGGCTATTAGCTTTGCGACTAACATTTATGCATGAATGTCCGATGACCACATTTTCTGTCAAATATTTATTCAGTACAGACAATAACGTTTCATTGCTGCTTTGTTCAAAAAAGCTGGTGTAGATAACGGCTCACGAATGACTTGCGCTAAGCAGGAAGTGATAAGATAAGTATTACGTTTGACAGCTTGTCTTGCCTAAGTCAGGAAATGTTATTGTTGATGGTTGATGTGACACCTGATTCTGCGCGGCGTTGTTCGATGACGAAATTATGAGCACACTTTAGACCCACAATGCGGTATCTTCAACTGTCAACTTTACCGCTATTTGTATTTTTTATGTTATGAATACTTCCTGCTTTGTTACGTTTCTTACTTATCCTGGACTATTGAGGCCGACAGGTTGTAGGCGCGTTGACTGGTTTTCACGCTCTGCTCAGTACCGTGATGCATCTTATTAGCAGAATCTGTTTCTGCAGACCGTTGGATGTGGCTCACCGACCGGGCATACGCTTTGCAACAGTTCCTTTTTGCGTGATTTTTGTGTGTGCTTGGTTTTATGCTTGACGGCATTATTTGGTTGTAAAAATGCGTGCCATTTGCTAGCTCAATCGTTTTTTCGAAATATTTTAGTTAATGGTTGTGAGATGCCACCAAACCTAAAGCGAGATGTTGTTCGAGCCATCGTTTTTTTTTGTGTGTGCTCATTTCTAGTAATTGAGGCACGGAATGGTAGCAAGCCGCTTAATTTCCACAATATCTGTGGAATACCATCAAGTGCGGACTTGCACGTGGAGCCCAAGCAAGTGTAGTAGCGGTGATGTATGTGACTGCGTTTCACGTTCACCGCGCGTTGCACCATGTGTAGCAATAAATAACATTCATGACTTCCTGTCTGACCGACTTGAACGCGGGAAGAGTGTGCCTGCTGAAGTTTGATTTGAATGGGCTGTCGGTGTCTGCCGAGCCAGTTGCGGAGGCCTCGATCGAGTTAAACCCCCGCACTTCTGGTCCATACGAGCTCAGTCACGCCGTAGGGGCTGAATCAAGTGTGGTATATTTGCTGATATGCATATTTTCACAATTGGGTACCACATGGGAACCGATCGCATTGGTCAGCTGCATCATGTGCGATAACAATTCCATCAGTCAACTTTGTACATCGACTCGCGGCTGTTCACCTAGTCACAAACATTACCTGCAGCACTTGGTTACAGAGTTCGTACACAGGTTGGGAATTAGTCGTCTGAATCGAAATGCTTCTGTGAGTTAAAGGGACCCTCCCACCTTAACATTAGATTTGAGTTGAGATAGCCAAAATGGGGTCCCTGGCTCACAATTACCGGTTTCGGCACTCACAACATCGAGAAATGCCTTAAATCGGTAATATTGAATTTCAAAATTGCAGCATTTTGATTCAGAGGGGCTAATGCTTAGGAATACCCCTCTGAATGTGTGACGTCAGCGCAAATATCTAACGATTTTTAAATGTTTGACTAAAACGTTTTGTAGCACGCGGTGGTATATGCTATTTGCGCGCAACATCTGCCGCAAACGCCGCACTTCTAAAATAAAGTCGCTAGAAACAGCGGAGATCCCAAAAAAGTAAACAAAAGTAAAAGTCAAATATCTTGAAAACCGGTGAATATTTTTCGGTGAAATTTGGTAGATATTCGTTTTCGCTCTTTCTGAACCGAGCGACATCACTTTCATGCCAATTCATAAACTTTTTTGAAGGTGGGAGGGTCCCTTTAACGATTGCCTCGTTCATCAGCGTGATCCATCATGCTTCTTGGGTTCACCTCTATAAATCATTAGGACATAGAACAAAAATATTAGTGAATGTGGGACAATTGGTAATCTGTTTTTCAAATATATCCAAATCCGGTGTCCGAAAGGCACAGGAGAGGACCTTCTAAATCCTACTTTACCGCACTCAGGTCGGTGTGATGGCATTCCATGCGATGACGATACCTTACGCTTCACACCGCTCAGGACCGCGGCTCGCTGCCAATAAACAAGCGGCAAGTGTGCCACGTGACCGACATAAGTCGTGTTTACATAGGGTTCCCTTAATCTTCCCCTATTTCTCCCCTATTTTCAGATCGAATTTTAGGCATCATAGCGCTCGCGTGTAACGTTGCTATGGACGCTATTGTTGTTAGAAGCATACTAAGCATCGTTTATGCTGTAAACAATATAAATTGGGCTTATTTAATACTCGAAATTCAACAATTCATATTTTGAAGTAACTTTATCCTGCCCTTCAATTCCCTCTTTAAGCGACAAATAGGGGAGGATTTGGTAGCGTAGCGCCTTTCCAAAAGCTGCTACGCTACCATATCCAGTGGTTCTCAAACTATCACATCACAAAAGCGGCGTGCTGATTGGCCGGCAGTTCCGAATCGTCCGACTGGTGGTCCCCGACTCGACAAGCGTACGTGCGCCGACTGAGGATTTTTAAAGTGACCATCCCACCTTAACATTAGTTTTGAGTTGAGATAGCCAAATTGGTGGCCATGGCCTGCTAATGCCGGTTTGGGCACTCACAACATCGAAAAATGCTTTAATTCGGAGATATGGAATTTCAAACTTGCAGTTTTCGGATTCTAAGGGGCTAATGCATTGGGATGCCCCCTTAGAATTTGTGACGTCAGTGGTGATCTAACGATTTTAAAACCTTATACTAACATCTTTGTGAAACAGTGGTGGATATATACTATTTGCGCGCAACATCTGCCGCAAACGCCGCATTTCCGAAATGAAGTCGCTAGGAACAGCGGAGATCTCAAAAGGTAAACAAAAGTAAAAGGCTAATATCTTGAAAACCGGTGAATATTTTTCGGTGAAATTTGGTAGATATTCGTTTTTGCTCTTTCTGAACCGAGCGACATCACTTTCATGCCAATTCATTAACTTTTTTGAAGGTGGGAGGGTCCCTTTAAGTGGCATTAACGCATAAACGGCAGAAAGTCAAGGCGGAAATTCGACAGGTGCGGTGTTCTGATATTGCCGTGGATGTGATTACACCTACTTGAATAATAGCTCAGCCGTTTAAAGTATGTTAAATGCCAGATAGTTTTCTGATTTTTCTTGCTTTGAGCTTTCATGTGCTATCACTTTTACCTCAGTGTCTAGTCTGGAAGCTATTTGGGAGAGCCCTAAAGGTAAGTAACAATTGCAAACTGCTTCTAGAATGACTTAGTTGCGCCATATTTGTAGTGAAGCGAGGTAAAGGAGACAGAGGATTCCTTTATAAGGGACATTTAAGAGACAAATAAGGGAAGATTAAGGGAACCCTATGTAAACACGGTTATAGTAGTTTCCTTACACGCAAGCATAAGACTATGTGCAACACTAGGAATGATGGACACTACACGCTCATGATCTCTAATGTTAGCATTCATGTGTAGCATCAATGGATTTACACACAACTCTCAGCATGAGTGGCGTATGCAAAAACGCATACTTTTAGCGGGATATTTAACACTGATTCCCGGCGTCAGTCGGCAGGGACTCAGTCTGAACTGTTCGGGGGGTACGTCTGTACCGCGCAGCTCCGACAGCACAGTTTGGTACCGCACAGCTCCGACAGCACAGTTTGGTACCGCACAGCTCCGACAGCACAGTTTGGTACCACGCAGCGACCTCCGGCCCCAGTCCAGGGCAGCCGTTGCGGCGCGCCGCCCTGTACAGACCACTCCGTGCTATCACTGATTGGCGGCTCACGTCCGCCATTCGACGCTCCAAGACCTGGCCGTCCGTTCCTGATACCGAATTTCCTGATTGGACGTATACCTCCTGCAGCGCACTGAGACATCAGGTCACCTGTCCTGGCCATTACTTCTCTGAGCACTGTTCAGCGGCCACACGACAAACACTAGTGAGTGATGAGTGAGGCCTAACAACGGACCCATGCGTTCTTCTGACGCACAGCCGACCAACACCGCCCTGGGCCGGCTCCTCAGAGGTGAAGACGCGGAGGACCTCCGCCGTCTCGTGGCGCACAGCCTTTGAGTACCTCGCCTGCGGCAGCCGCCTCAGAGTATGTAGACGTTAAAATTGTCGTTTCGGAGTGACATCTGTGCCTCCTGGAGGATCCTGAGGCGCGGTCCGATGGGGATGCCCAGCTTCTGCAGCCGGTCCTCGGTCATGTAGGGCAGCTCGATCATCCCGATCCGCTCCCGCTCGAACAGCGCCGCGTACTTCTGAAAACGGGCGGAGAGACACATACCGGTCATGGCATTGTCTGCTTGCATTATCCGCTGAGGTAGATTCTAACGGATAGCGTTTGTCTAATGAAACAACCTACGGTTACTATGCACATAGAGATCAGTCGGTGCGTCGCTTTCATCAAACTGGGCTCTTTCGCACACTTTCTAATTCCGCAGAGTGTTTCAAATAAAATTACAACCAACTTGTATTCTCGTTCTCGTACAATTGTGTACATTGTCTTATTCTGAAGAAGACCTGTTGGTCGAAATATCAATACAGTAATATTTGGCTATTCAAATAATTTTTAAATGTCGAGGAGAGGTCATTTTTTCATATATTTTCTCTCTCTAATATTCATAATGTTCCTCGCAAGAGCGCTCCAAAGAATAAGTTCTGAAAATTACAACCAAGCTAGAACAAGTGTTGTGGTACCTATTTAAGCTTTTAGATACCGGGACCGGAATTTGACAGCAGCTGATGTCATACAGTCAGTTGCCTCCATCCACTATCCACTTCTGCTCGCTCCTACTCCCCTCTCGCCGTCCCACGCACCTCATAGCCGAGCTTCTTGAGGAAGATGCGCAGCAGCGGCGGCTCGTCGCCGAAGAACTTGGTCAGCTTTCTCACCCGGCCGGGGTGTGTGAGGGAGGGCACCGCGTCTCGGAACGCCTCGAACTCGTTGGCCGGCCGGTGGGGGCGCAGCGCGCGGCCCGGCGAGGTGCGCAGCTGCGTCAGCTCCGTGCGGATACTCTCCAGCTCCTGGGGGTGGTCGGAGGGTCAGATACAAGGCGGGAATAGAAAGTAGGAGAAGCGATCGCTCTTGGGGAACCTGTTGCAAGTTTGATTAGTCAGGCACAGCCGCTTATGTGTTACCGCTTCAGGGGAAAAAGCTAACGAGATGTAGTAGGTATAGGTATTGTGGCTGGTGAATGGCGGTGTAACCGAGTATCAAGATTGGCAGCAACAAATGAAGTGTCTACTCCGTCAGACACTGTAAAGCCCAAAGTCTCCCTGGTTCCCGTCCGAGCGGGTACCTGGAACATGAGGTGCTGTGTCCGCATCTCCGAGGACAGGTGCGCCACACTCCTCGCCAGCGTGACCACGTGACTCTCCAGTCGCTGGAACCGCTTGTTGACGCCCTGGGGACAGAGACAGGTGTAAGGGTCATCTGATCTGTTGGTGGATATCATGTCTATATCAGGGCTGAAGAGAGAAGAAGCTGTGTGCTAAACAGTGCCCATTGCCTAGCATGCCACCTCTGGCGTGGCACATTTTTTTTTTCGTGGCTGCTCATCTAGTTGTCATCTACGATATTCGCTAGCTCTATTCAGCATCCGCCTTATGATGGACGTACCTTCATGTCCTTGAGTTTCTTCCGGTCGTCCCTGCGCCGCTCCTTCACTGGCCGGGCCCCAATCGAGGACGGCAGGGACGACATGCTGCCGTACATCCTGTGTTTGGTGAGCCCGGAGCGGGGCAGGCGCGCGCCGGGAGGAACGCGGCGCTGGCCGCCACCCAGCAGACGCAGCACCTGGCGAGGGACGAGATTGTCAGCTCCATCAGTCATAGACACTCCGACATCCCCCAAAGTCACAGACAGCTGCCAGTTCCACCCCGCAGTCCCAACCCCCGCCGCCGCCGCGCAGCACCTGGCGAGAGACGGGACTGTCAGCTCTACCGGTCATAGAGACCCCCGCAATCCTTACAATCACTGACAGTCCCCAGTTCCACCCCGCAGTCTCAACCCCGCCGCTATCCTCCACCCAGCACCTGCGAGGGGCGGGATTATCAGAATTGCGGGCATACACCAACCATGAGTGGACTTTCAGGGCCCAGCACCTCCCACAAGCGTCACCAACACTAACTGCCACACTCATTGAATGCATAGTCAAAGGCTCCTCTCATCGCTACCATCCCATGTCTGGCCAAGTCCCAGTATGTCACGGAGAGCCGAACGTAGCCCGTTGTTCCGTCCGTCCCCCGTCCGTCCGCCGCCCGCTCACCTCCGAGTACATGCCCTCGAGGCTCTCGAGCTGTTTGCGGATGGCCGGCCCGTCGGCGGTTGCCTCGAGGACGGTGGACTCGTCGTCGGTGGTCTGGTCGGTAGTCGCGTCCAGCATCGACTCCAGGTCCAGACCGGTGGTCATCGAGGTGACGTCGCCGTCCGTCCGACCCGCGCTGCTCACCGACGCTGCAGAGGGGAGGTGGTGGTGTTCTGATCGTGGCTGTGTTTGGAGTAGTTCGTTTGAAGGGGAGGATGCTGAAAAGGCTGCCCAGCCAGCTTAAACAACACCAGCGGATTTAGTTCCAGCTGTGGAGGAAGTCGGCCAACTGCCATACAAGATTGACCCACCAAAGACCTTCGTATGTCGATACCGGTATACAGCTGAACTATGAACTAGCTGAAGAACAAGCGTGACCTACCCTCTCCCACGTTCTAACCGGCGCGGACGTACCGAGTCGGGTGTTGAGGGGGATCCGGTGTCGGCTCCTCATATCCCGCGGCTCCCTGGTGAGCGGTACCTCCTGCGCGCGGCCGGGCCAGGCGCGGCCCTGGCCGGAGCTGCCGGAGCGGCGCACGGCGGGCCCTCCGTCACCGCCGCCTCCCCCTCCCCCTCCGCCGCTGGACATGGCCTCCAGCAGGTCCGGCTGGCTGAGGCCGCCGCCGCCGACCCCGACCGACTGCCGGGCCGGGGACGGGCTGCCGGACTGCGAACCGGCCGGCGAGTCGCCCAGCGGCAGCGCCGGCAGCGGGGGCGTGCCGCCGCCCCCGCCCCCACCGGAGCCGGATCCGGGTCCGGGCGCGGGTCCGCCGGCGCCCGTGGAGCGGAACAAGCGCGGGTCCAGGATCTGGCGCAGCTCCGTCTCCACCATGTCCACCCACTCCGAGTCGTTACCTGACGGCGAGAGAAGGAACAGACGTCACCGTCACATCGGAAAGGGCGGATGCACATTATAAGCAAACAAACCTATCCCTCTTGACTATCAAGACGTGATGTGTAAAACCACGGCAGGGCACTATCAAGTCTCGTCTAGTCGTAGCGCGCGCTGCTCACCTGAGGAATGGCCTGCCTGCAGGGCGGCCGCCATCGCCTGCTTCTGCCGGCTCGACTGCACGTCCGAGTCGAGGCTGGAGTCGAGCGGCGCCGGCGAGGCCATCTTCTGCGGCCGCTCGCCGCCGGCCGACTGGCTGCTGCCGTGGCCAGAGTCGGACGAGTGGCCCAGACCGCCCTCCTTCTGCGCCTCCTGGCGCGAGGCGTACGCCGGCTCGGCGGCCGCGGCCGGCTGCGGGTCCTCGGCCGGCGGCGGGCTGGCCGGAGGCGGCGGCGGCCGCTGCGCGGGCGGAGCCGCCGTCTGACCGTACACCCCCTCGGCGGCCGGCCGGGCCGGGCTGTCCTGGCGGCCCGGGGTCTGCTGAGGGCCCCCCGCGCTCCCGTTCGCCGTGCTGGTCTGTTGGGAACTGAACGCCGGCGTCTGAGCACCGCTGAATTGAGGCACAGAGGTGGGAGGGCCGCCGAGCTGAGGTGCAGATGTAGGCGGGCCGTTGAACTGTGATACAGATGTAGGCGGGCCGTTGAACTGAGCTGCGGAAGTCGGCGGACCGTTGAACTGTGCCGCAGAGGTCTGTGGACTGCTGTAGTGGGCAGTAGAGGTCTGCGAACTACTGAAGTGAGCCGCTGACGTCTGGCTGCCGCTGTAGGTCGGCCCGGCCGGCTGGCCGCCGCCGTAGGTCGGTCCGGCCGGCTGGGTTCCGCCGTAGGTCGGTCCGGCCGGGTGCTGGCCGTTGAAGTGCGCCGCCGCCGGCAGCTGTCCGTACAGCGGCTGGCCGCTCAGAGGGTGACCGTTGAAGTGCGGCCCGCTCGGCTGGTGTGTGCCGTACGCGGGCGGAGCCGCCGGTCGCAGCGGGTGCGCTCCGTGCGCCGGCCGCGGCGGCGTGGAGCCGTAGACGGCCGGCCGGGGCGGCGGGCCAGGGTACGGCTGCGGGGGCAGCGGCCGCTGCTGCTGCCACGGCGCGCCGCCCGGCTGCGCCGCCGTGCCGTAGATGGCGCCCGCCGCGCCGGGGCCGTACTGCGCCGCGCCCGGGGCGTGCTCGGAGGCCGGGGCGCCGTAGCCGGGGGCGCCGCCGTACTGCGGGTGGCCGGGGTGCGCGGCCGGCGGCGGCGGCGGCTGGCCCAGCCGGCTCTGCGGTCCGGCGCCGAACCCGCCCGTGTAGCCGTACGGGGCGCCCAGCGGGCCCCCCGAGGGCGGCGTGTAGCCCGGCTGGGCGCCCGACTCCAGGGAGAGACTGGACATGCTGTACAGCACGCCGCTCTCGTCGGTCAGGTTCGACTTCTGCGCGTTGTGCTGCATGGCCTTCCGGAAGCTGGAGTTGATGTTGGACGCGCGGCCGTTGACGGCGTTGTTCTGGGCGGGGGCGGCAGCGGGGGCGGGCCGGCCCGTCTGGTCGGCGCCCAGCTTCCCCAGCCGGTTCGATATCATGTCCTTGATGTGGTAGTACTTCTTGGTGAGCGTGCCGTTCTTGGCTCGCTCCTGGTCGCCCTCCGTCGGGTCGGCGCCGGACGCCGGTGTCGGCCCGTCCGCTGCTGACCGGGGCGCCTGCGCCGACATACCCTGTAACGGAGGGGTGCAACCGGTCAGTTCAATGGCACTGACACGGAATATAGATCCAGTTTACTCCTACGCGTCTTCTTTTACAACTCCAGTCAGTATAAAACTGCTGGCTTTACGGCTTGTGCCTTCTGAAGCACATGAAAATAAAACCTAATAAGATGACCTTTTTAAAACGGTCACCTGAAAAGCCGAAGAGCTCTTATATCCGGTTTAGCTGAAGACACCAAACCACTCCCTTCCGAGCGACCTGTAGAGGCGTTTTATTGAATGCATAAAGCCCTCCTTCAGAGAAGGCGCGCCAACCTAACTGATGGGTGCAGCCCCAGGTCAGACAAGCAGGCCTGACACCGTTCAGCCTATATTCTTTTTACAAGGCTTGATATATCGAGCAATATAAATACAACCGCAAAATGCGACCGTTTATGTCATGGTATACTTTTCATTAGGGAGTGCTTGCTCCCTTTCCATAAAACGATTCAAACATGCGGAACATGTTACTCTATATGACCCCAAATATATGAGCAAGTATAAATGCGTATTAGGAACAGATTTTCCAATCGGCTCAGCATTGTGAACCGTTCGTAATTCGCTTTTTCTCTGCTCATGTATCCCCGGTCAATGAAACGGCGTCTAATAATTAATTTTGATTTTGTATGCATTACTTTTAATATCTCAAATATTGTTACCTAGTGACTGGGTCAGAGCGAACCAGTTGCGCTCACTGACTCTCAAAGGGCTGTTGGACGCCGCGCCGGCTGTCGGCCACGGTCCCTCTGTGACCGAGACCGTTCCATCCGGCCCAGTTCCGGACACCGGTCCCAGTATCGTACCTACTCGACAATAGGCGGCCATCGGGGGCGTATTATCAGACGGCGCGACCCGGGCCAGAGGTTCTCAGGCCGGCTACCATTCGGTCCAGCGAAGAAGACATTGTTTGGTGTCACTGTAACTGTTAACAGACTGCCGACTGTTACCGTCATTTGTTACCTGTTGGTCGCGGCAGTGTCGGAACTATCGCCCTCAGTGGTGTGAATCACAGTGGCCAAATGGCCGCGCGTGAGCCCGAGCCCGCAATTATCCGGCGACTGGGCCGGGGAGACATGCGTTTGTGTGTGTGAGAGAGAGAGAGAGAGAGAGAGAGAGAGAGAGAGAGAGAGAGAGGGGGGGAGGAAAGAGCCCAATGGTCCCAACATAAGGATAATGTCTGTGTGAGAGCGACCTGAGCTAAAGGCTGATATGCACTTCCTCATTTACCTTGCACTATATACAATATACATACAATGGCGGTCTCAAATTGAACCGAGACTGCATTAGCACAACAACCAAACACTGGTGACTGCAATCGCACATGAAAAAGTATCATTGGTAACTGCAGGACGGAACACAAAGCTAAGGCCAGAGTGGCGACTGCAGTTTCAAACATAAACGTAACACCAGCAAGCGTGAAGACTGCAGACTCGAACATAAACGTAACACCAAAATGCGTGGGCGCTTCTCGCATCCTGTGTAGAAGCTCGTGATGTTTTTGATTGATAGTTATGACTATCCTCACCGCTGTGGGTTGTGGCGCGCGCACCGACTGCGAGCCGCGCCCCCAGCCGTCCCGCTGGAACATCCTGCTGCAGGCGTCCCTCAGAGTATCGGAGCCGCTTGCGCCGGCCGCCGCCGGGCCCGGCGCGTACTCGGGCTGACCCCTGCCGGAGGCGCGGCCCGGACCCTGCCGACACACACACACACACACACACCCGTCACCGGTCAGCGCGTCACATACATGCATGCATGCATGCATGCATGCATACATACATCATACATACATACATACATACATACATACATACATACGTACATACGTACATTTACACGTACATACAGTTATACACATTGCCCCTTGCCGTGTAGGTACTAGCGCCAGATGTTCGGCTCTTCTATGAAGTGGCGTCGCATTTGCTTGGTACGACACAACAGGTTCTCCGTACTACAATAGCGACATTTCCACTAATCTAATGCACAACTACTACACTATATAATCCACTTAGCACGATGCCATTGTTGGAAAAATTACATGTTCTCAGAAAGTCAGTAGGGCGTGATCCTTCTCAACACGTACTGTATCAGAACGCGCAGCGCTTCAAGCTGCGACCAAAGATAGATATTAGATAGACTGGGAATTTCATCTAGTGGAGTGTTGGTGGAGCATGAGCACGAATTAAGCATGTCCTCTCTTACCCTGTAGACGCCGTAGGGGTCCTCCCCTACCCTGTACACGCTGTGGGGACCCTCCCTTACCCTGTAGACGCCGTAGGGGTCCTTCCTTACCCTGTAGACGCCGTAGGGGTCCTTCCTTACCCTGTAAACGCCGTGGGGGGTCCTCCCTTACCCTGTAGACGCCGTAGGGGTCCTCCCTTACCCTGTAGACGCCGTACGGGTCCTCCCTTACCCTGTAGACGCCGTACGGGTCCTCCCTTACCCTGTAGACGCCGTACGGGTCCTCCCTTACCCTGTAGACGCCGTAGGGGTCCGAAGGGGTCCTCCCTTACCCTGTAGACGCCGTAGGGGTCCTCCATGGCCGGGTTGTCGATACCGTCTCCGAGGGAGGCAGAGGACTGGAGCAGCTGGTCCCTGCTACCGGTCGTCTGCCGCTCCACCTGGAGAGAGCGGAGAGCGGCTGTCAGGGCAGATGCAGAGGAGACGTGACCTGTTCCTGCTCCTATGAGACCACCTGGGTAATGCAGGAACAGTTCCAAGGTAATACATGTCCGCTCCTCATGTCCGCTGCTTTCTGTCTGCCTACGCTGTTTTGACTTATGCCAATGCCGGTTGAAGATAATTGAGCGTTGAGCACAATTATTTCTGTGATACATCAGTCATCACCCCAACAGTTTCCTGACAAGGCTGATTGATCGTGCCGTCAGCAGCAGCGGATATGCCGTACTATGGTCAGCCGACCACGCCGGCGCTGGCTCTGGCGGCCTATATCCGAGTGTATTCAGATCCTACATCAGTCCTGTCGTGCCGCGGGGGTGACATCGGCCCGGAGCCTTCTACATCCAAAGAGGGAGCACTAGTGGATTACTGAGCCATGATCAACCATATACTAGAGGGGTGGCTCAAGCGATGCAGTAGGCATTTAAACCTCCGTAGTGATGTAGCGGCGATGTCTGAGAAACGTCGTCATCGGAACAACAAAGCATCACTGACTTTCGTGAGCTGAATACCAAATGGAGAATGAAGCAGCGCTGACGTCAGATAACTCAATTTGAATGCATAGTTTGATCTCTTCTGATATTTCTTCTCGCTTATCAGACAGTCATGCAGAAATTCGATGGCATAAAAGCTATTTCATTTCGGAAACCCTTGCAACAACTCGCTACAAACGCATACTTTCGCCCAGCTGCCTGCGGCCAAAGCTATCTTGCGCAGGCTGTCCCGACCACCACCATGATCTCGCCGAATTGCACTAAAAACTGTGGGAGAATCGTTCGAGCGTTGTATCTGCAGTTCTTTCGGTGCAGTGTTGTCACACTTACAGGGCGTTAGAAGCCGTTCACAGGGTGTTGGGCGAGCGTGAGATAAGGCATGGTTCACACGACTCGCGCTGAGCTGAGATTATATCGGCCCGCTCGGTAGCTGACTTCTCCCCGTCCGCCGCGGGAGGCTGGGGCCACCGACCCTTCTGTGTCACTGCTGCACCAGTGATGATTGATGAGACCGCGGGTTCGAACCTTAAGCTACACTGCTGCTAGTTTTTTTTCTAATGTTTACTGTCCTAATTTTACTCACACTCGGCTTCGAGTATTGCTGATTCATCTTACCAGGGAAGTGCATAGGATCTCACGCATCTTCACCCCCTGCAGATCAGATCGTCTGACAGGTCTAACAAACTTTGAATATAAAACTACTTGTCACCTTTCAGCAGCATGCGGATTGTTAAGCATTTTTGAGATTTGTATGTCTTTCAGACCTGCAGCCCTTGCCACTTATGACCTATTCACTTGTCTTTGCCGAGGAAGTCGCGCTATCACCCCTGTACTTACGCTTGTGCATCTTCAAAAGCAGCTTGCACAACACGTTCTTCTATGTTCCGGCATAAGCGACCAAACTATTCGCTGATCTCCGTTCCAGCTCACACCACCTCACCGCTACCTTCACGCCACTCGGATTCACTGAATTCCTCTTCCAGAGGACACCGCTCCTCTCCCCACAAGGCACCGTCTCCCGCCCCTCGCTAGCCGTCTCCGCGCAGCACTGCCGCGTCTCGTGCAGCGCCGGGCGGCCAGTGCACACTGCGCGCCGCCCTCCGTGCAGTGTGCACACTGCAGACGCCGTCCGCGGGCGGTGCATACCAGCCGAGCGGACTGGGATGCTGGGCCGAGCGGCGGCCCGCGGGCTGCACTGCATGCCGCCGCCGCCCGGCCAGGTCCGGCCCGGCCCGCGGTACAATTAGCCGCCGATTAGCCCGGCACAGGAGATGCAGCCGCCGAATCGCGCCTCAGATCTCGGCGGCGGCGATTCGAGCCGCGGCGGGGCACTTTAAGAGCCGCGCAGCGCACTTTAAACCGGGCGGCGGCGGCAGTGTTTTGACCTCCAGACGGGCGATTCTCGTGCGCGCGCGCGTTACGAGTGGGTCGTCATACCGGCGACCTTGGCTGTGAGGTGCCGGCGGATACCGGCAGAGCCCCAGCTCTGAGCAAGACCGACAAAGGCCGCACACAGGTGGGCGTGCGTGAAAAAACAGACGTGTCTGCCGGTTACTGCAGCGATCCGATCACTGAACGTCGACTGACGGTGACGGTGATCGGCACACGTCAAACCCGCTTACCAACAGCATATCCAGACACGACACGGATGGAAATTGTGCAAGACTTCATGTTTACGGTTTTGTCACAACCAGTCGTCGGCTGCCAAACAGTGCAGTGTACGGAGCACAGACATAGGTATGTGCGCTGTCGTTTGCTTCAAAATTTTGTTGTCCAGTTACTTATCCATGCCAAGTTGAAAATCGGTCGTTTGATCGAAGAATGATTACAGCTAATTGAAGTTCAGCCTGTGCTGGACGGTTTATCCGAGGCCGCAATAACCTCATTGCGTTATCTCTGTACACCCGCTGCGCCACGGTTTGTGTGCGCCACGGATATTTGTGTGGAATGTACGGGGTGGGAGTAGCCACGCGCCCGGGGCCGCGGTATGTCGGCGCTGCATGGAGATATCGCGTGCAGGCCGGCCGGCGCTCGGGGAAGGTCCCTCCCTCCCCTCCTCCCCTCTCACTGCCGGCGGCACTGTGATCGATGGAGCGCACCTCGGCGGCATCCTAACCGGGGTGAGACGCGCCCCTGGCCCGGAGGAGGGCTCCGGTACCGTGCCGTCATCACGGGTCAGCGCGGCGGACGGTGACGGACACAGAGATACGATCAGAGATACGGCGGCACACCGAGCCAGTGTGCACGTCAGCGGCCTGATCTGTGATGACTATCGTAATTAACATCTCCATCAGAACACCATGCATGCTGGCCACCCCAAGATCGATCACTCCCGGCAACTCAACCACTGACAGGCGAACATGCAACAGAGTCCAGACTGAGAAAATGAGATAATCCGAGAGGTGCGAGCATGCAGTGAAGAGGAGAACAGCGGAAATCGAGCGGTGCAGACCATAGTCATGTGCGCGCTGGTGGTGCATTGGTGCAGCATCTTGGTGCATGGGTGCAGTGCGGGTGCCGACCGCATGCCCTTCCTCCGCTCGTGGCGGGCGGTGCTGTGCTTCCTCGGTAGCCAGCTGAGCCAGCAGCCGCGGCAGCTGTCGGCTGGAGCCGCGGCAGCTACTCACGCCGAGGTTCTCGGAGCTGCGTCCGCCGGCCAGTCGGCCGCCGCGGGTCAGACTCAGGCTGCGCGCAGCGTCTGCCGGCGTCGGGCCGCCGTACCGGCCTGCCGCGGCCTCCTCCGGCAGGCGGCCATCGCGGCCCAGACTGCGGCTGTACTGCTGGAAACTGGTCTTCTCCACCGTCTTGTCGACCAGCGAGAGCTCGCGCTCCACCTGGCGTCGGCCGGGGCGGCGTCACGCCGGGGAGGCATGGGGAAGGCGCACATCGCATAGAGGAGACTCAACATTCTTTTGGAAATCTGTTCAAACACTACTGGGATTTTTTGAAAAGTGCAATGCACTGGAAAAGCTTCCAATATGATCATTTAACCCAAATACAAGCTATCGGATTGTATTATTAGGTGTAGTCATTTGCAGATAGCTTTATTCTTATTGAAGTTAATGTGTTAAAGTACGGCCCAACGTATGCAACCATCCCCAGAATTGAAATAGCAGGGAGGCTGATCCTCCATCACATTATGAAGCTGTTCACCGTTCTGTTCAGGCTGCTACTTCTCTCCCCCTTCACTTGTGATGTCAGTGTGTGCCTATCATCTGTCTGGTGATGAATCTTTCCCCGACACACAGCCCCGAAGGCCGAAATCCCTCAGCAGAAAACGCCAGATACCATCTCTGGCAGGCGGATTTCGGGCCCCGCCGAGCACAAAAACTGGACGGACAATGGCGATATAGTGATGGAGTGTGTCCCATGGAAGTGTCAGGTGGGCGGGAATGTCCACTGGGTCTGACAATGGGGTGTGTGACAACATTTCTCCGGGGAAAAAAGAGCAAATGTTTCAGAAGCCGTGGGTGCTCGCCTAAAGGATGTTTTGTGTTGTACCGCAATTAGTTTCCTATTGCTGGAACTGATATAAAAAGGGACGCGTATTTATCAAATGGTCGGAAAGCTGAGTGTTTGTGTTACGTAAATAAATCACGTGGTATAACAGATGTTAGCTAAAATGGTCACTGACAGCGCGAGGTATTTCACTCCAGGCCAACTACGAACCATTGCTGATGAACTGTGTGACCCCCCGGCGAGACGGTTTCCCCGACCGTCCTCGGTCGTCACTCACCGGGAACTTGCTGGAGTGCAGCTGGATCTCCTGGCTGGCGAGCATCGGATCGCTGCCGGAGAGCCGGCCCGGCGCGGCCCCGTTGGTCACTGGCTGCTCCCCCAGCTGACGTGGCGGCGGCACCGACTTGTACACGCCCAGCTCACTCTCTGAGGGGGACACAACGGCACGGGGTTAGGACAACTGACCCACTCTGAGGACAACACGGCGGCACCGACGGCACTCTGCGATCCAGCACACTCTGGAAAACGATAAAATAGAACAGGGTCACAGCGACGGGCCGTTCAACTGCACGTCAGTGAGGCGCAACACAATGAAATACCGAAGTTTTACGAAATATGCAGACTGGTTATGTCTAAATATTTGCAACAAAAAAAAAACAAACAAACAAACAAATATAATCAATTAGAAATGTAGCCGAGAGAGAGACGAACCATAAGTATGTGCGTTTGGTTTGAGGAGTTGTCAACTGCGCTGAAAACCGAAGTTGAGGTCACATGACCGTTATTCGGAGACTGCCGCGAAGTCACGTGCCGCCACCCGGAACAGAGAGGCGTCATGTGGCCGTCCGGACGGGCAATTTGATGATATCGGGGTCATAAAGTGAGCCGCCCAGACACAAAGGAACGGCACACGACGGGCCGAGCGGGACACCATACCGAGCGGGACACCGCGCCGGGAAACGGGCCGCACGGGAAACAGGTCGACCGGCGGCACACGCAAACACGCACACAGGCACTTCATAGAGCGTGGAACGCGCGGTATTTTAAGATTTTTAGATTTTAGATAAAGTTATGACAGTATGTTCAAATTTTAAGACGTACGGCTGGTGCCTGGTACTGTTTTCTGGATGGGGGACTGTTTTCTGCTTCACCTATCATGACACCAAGGATTTGTTTTATGGTTTAAGTGTACTTATAGTTATTTTGGTGTGTTTCAGCCTACCGCCGAGTACCTACTGCTACTGCTAGTGTCGCCTGTCGGCCAATACACGGGTTGGTAAGTACCGAGTGCCTAGCAGAGCTCTCTGCCCGCCAAGTACTGCTCAGGTGCTCAGTGTCCGTCCCTAGGCTCGGTACCAGCTAGTCGGCGGCTCCCAGTCCGTATGCCGGGGTGTGCGGTGCCGTCTGATGCCGCCGCGGGAGGCCTCCCGCCTGTCCCCGGGGCGGTCTCCCACCCTCTCCCCCTCTCCCTCCCGCTCTCCCTTTGTGCTGTCCCTCTCTCCCTCCGCGCGGACACACGGTAGTGTGAAGGCGCTCCCCGCCGAGCCATCGGACAGACCAATCCGCGGAGAGACGGCCTCTGTACACTGGTGAGCCGCGGAGCTGATTAGCGCAGCCCCGCGGGGTCCCAGCCAGTCACCGTGTGATGACCAGACACCGAGCGGACACCACGCAGCGCTGGGAAACTCCCAGTCGTGCATCACGGCCAGGGCAGTTGGCTGAATAAAACTTTGACCTGATGATCCAGCACTGAGCTGCCAAGGCTCCGGCTCGCGGCTCCATGAGCTCTCTGAGCGGACTAAGCTCCGACTCCCCGCCCCCTGAGCTCTCTGAGCTCCGGCGGACGCCGGGCGCGTGCCGTCACCGGCGAGCGGAGTCTCCAAGGCCAGCCACGCGCCGCGCGCCGGCCGCCACCGGTGATTACCGGCAATTATGTCGCCGGCCGCGGCGGCACCGGCGCTCCGCGTCTGCCCCGCGCCGTCTGGGGCCGTATGGAGTGGTCTGGGACCGTCTAGGTAGGCCTAGAGCGGCCTGGGGTCGAGTTAGTCGGACACAGTACCCGAGGTTCCGGATTTGGAGACCGTTTTACACAAACCGACACGGCTTGATCACGCCGTCCAAGCTGAGATCCTCGCTGTGGGAGTGCGTTAAATGTATTTCGAACGAATACATGCATCCCTGGAATAGATGATTCAGACCATAGTGTTACTGGCTATTGTGTTGCGTGTTCCGGTCAAGCATATTGCAAGCAAAGAGCTAGGCACGGCGCTACCGGAATGTTCTGCCGGAAACAACCATTGAGAACGATGTCATGTTGAGTGTTTGCCCCACACCGATGACTTCCTGCTACTAACAGCCCCCCCCCCCCAATCAGCAGCGGCGCGTCACGTGACCAGGAGGTGTGACGTCACGGTCCGCTGTGCTCGGCCGGAGGGGGGGGGGGGTGGAGGGCGAGCAGGTGCACCTCTGAGGCAGGTGTGCGAGGGGCGGGGGTCTGTGATTACCCCGTGGACCGCTGCGTTTGGGGTCGGTGGAGGGTCTGCCGCCGGTCCATCCGTAAGCGCTGTATGGCACTGAGAATGGACGGGATATCACCAACAACAGGAAGAACAGAGACGTTAGGCTCCGAGCGATCACAATGTGCCGGTCACGGAACGGTGGGAAAATTAGGCTATGAGCTGCCGCGGTCAGGGTCAGACTTCCTGCCCGCCGGCGATTGTTCGCAGCCGCTCGGTATACATATGTAGACGAGACCTGACCGAACAGTCGCTCCTATGAGCCTCCTCCGACGCTGAGCCGCCTCTCATAGGCGCCGTGTTGAGGCTCACGGTACCCTGGGTTTCCGCTGACCGGCCACTAGAGGCAGAGCACTGGTGTTGATAATCGGCACTGATCAGTGATCCGCATACAGTCGTCAGTCGGTGGGTCTGCTCTGTGACCCGGCGCTGTAGTGACCTCCTCACCGACACCCTCCTCCCCGGCGGCTGTCCCCAGGGAGGTAGTATCCCCATCCCCGGACTAGGAGGCGCCGCCGGCCGTCTCTCTAGGCCCCGTGAAAGCCGACCCTGGCCGCGGCCATTACCGCGTCTCTGCGCGAGCCTCCGGCGGGGTGAGAGGTCGGACGAGAGGACCTGCCTTCTGCCTGCGGCGCTGGCCCGCTGCTCTCCACTGAGCCGGGCCGGGCCGCCATTATATAGGGCTGCAGAGCACCCTCCGCAGAGACCGGCGCTTAATTTGGCGCATTTAATGTAATTATAGGCTAGAAAGTGAACTACTGGGTAAGATGGATGGGGCTGTATCAAACGATTTCCGCGCCCTGAACGATCACCGGAAAATGGGCCTCTGAAGTGTTCAGTTCTGCTAAGGCGACAGCATCCGAGTTCCGCCGTTGTCCACAAATACCGTACTTCTTGCTTTTACTATTACTTCATTGAAATGATTGTGGAATATTGTACCATGAGGAATACAATCGCAAATGGCAGCGTCAGAGACGGAAAATAACAAAGACTTCAAAGAACAAATTGCGTTTCCCATCTAACATAGTTCCTTCGGCATATAGATCACCCGCACCCCTCCGTATAACAAAGGTCCTATCAAAGTTACGATGACGGTATCGTCGAACAGCGCCGCCGTATCACAATATCGGCGGATTCCCGGCCGTATATCCCGGCCGCTCTGACCCGCCCCCAGGGTGCCCTCTGCCGCAGTGGTGCGCGCTCGGCGGCTCCCAGACGACTCCCGGACGGCCCGCCGTGCCGCCGGAATGCCCCCGCTCTATACGGCCAATCACAAACAGGTCACGCGCCGGCACGGCTCGCTAATCGGAAAATCACTTGTCACACGGGGATTGACGCGGAGCTGGAGCGGTCGGCAGACAATCAGCGGCGGCCGCGGCGGTCACCGGCCCATCGGCGGCGGGAGGGGTTACCGGTAGAGAGCGGAGGATGGGGAGGGAGAGAGAGGCAGAAAACGGGATAAGGGAAGGATACAGAACAATGGAGAGAATGGTGGAAAGCGAGAAAGGATAAGGTTAGAAAGTAGGGAAGAGAAGGATAGAGCGCATAAGAAGAAACGTTAGGGCAAGATTCAAGGTAAAGTCAGGGAAAGTCGGATAAAATCAGTAAGGGAGGACGGGAAGGAGAACAGTTCAGTCATCAGTGAGTACCTAGTTCTGATAGAGAGGCAAGCAATAACTACGCTTGTCGCTGGCAGCAGACACACGCGGGAGCTCGATGACGGACTCGATCGGGCGGGACACCCTGACACGTGCTGCGTGCTGTCCCTCTTCCCGGCGACGTGTGGCGTCTCCGGCAGCGGCTTCCGTCTGCCAGCTGTCAGTTGTCACCCACAGACGGAGACAGAGAAACGAGGCACCTGGGTACGTCTGTTCCGCGTCCGATGGGAAGATAACCGGACCGTCACCACAAGTCATACAAGAAACGGAACAGAGCAGAGACGAGGGGCGAGGAGCAGGCGAAGACGAAGAAAGACAAGGAGAGAGAGGGAGGGAGAGAGAGAGAGCGAGAGAGAGAGATTGGGAGGAGTGAGGGAGGCTCGGGGAAAGAGACAAAGATAGAGAGGAAACAAGTGAGTCTAATGGCCCTTGCAGTGTATGCAATATGATGGAATGATTAAATTAAGGGCAGGACTGAGCACTGACAATAAGGCCAACCCTGTGGCGCAGCTAGGCCCGTGGAGAGGCCCCGGGCGCCTGGCCAAGGTAAGCGGTGGGTAGCGTGTGACCGGCGGCCGGTGTGGGAGCCGCGCCGATCTGCGGTTTCCGGACACACTGCCCAGCCTCGTGGCCGGGGAGCGGGCGGGCACGGCCGGAATGGCCGCAGGCAGAGCTGGACTGGCCAGAGGCCAGACGGACTGGCCAGGGGCGCAGACGGACTGGCCAGAGGCACAATAGGACACTCCATGCTGGGGATTGTTGGTCGGCACACAGTACCACTGCTGTATGGTGGCTCAGTGTGACACTCCCTGGATGTGCTCGCATCACTCAAGACGCACTTCGTTTGCACGTAAACACACGCCATTTTCCTGCAGATGTGATTGGATTGCGTAACGAGCGCCACTCTGTCACTCGATGTGTAATAGCAGAGTGACAGACAGGGAATTACCTGCGCTTGTATGCACTGCAATTAAGTCATGTTCATGTGATCCTTCCTCCTACTTGTTTTGCCTTGTCCTACAGTAAAAATGACGAGCAATGAAAATGTGTAAAACTACATAGCACCCCCCCCCCCCTCCTCGCGCATTGTGTTAGTCACCTGTTAATTGCATCGTATGTACCAACACAAAGACTAGGAAATGGAATGCGTAATGGTCTCTTGCCCTGCAATGGAACATATTTCTATGAAACAGCGTTTAGCTGGATGATTTTTTTTTTCAATTCCGCTACCTAACTAGCCAGACTGACCGTC